CTCTCTCGGTAGCAGTATGCTTTCTTTGATCTGAATTTTGCTAAAATATACTACGGGTTGTTTGTCTTGCATTAGCACGGCTCCTATCGCGAAATCAAATGTATCTGCGGCGATTTCTAATTTATCGTCTGCTTCAGGAAATTTCAAAAGAGGGGCCTTAGATTAATGCCGCTTTGTCTTTTCGTGTATTATATGCGCTTTTGGTTCTGGCGATGATGTGAACCTAGCATTTTCCTTTTAAAATTTAGTAAGGGATCTATATCAGCGAAATCTTTAACGAGAATTCCAGAATAAGAGCACTAGTCCCAAAATGATGCCAAGTTTTTTCCCATGTTAGGTTGCGGATAATTTTTGATAGCTGCTATTTTTAAATCCTTAGTTTTATTCTCCGCTGAGATAAGTCACGTACAGAAGTTCGGACACGAAATAAAATTTTGCCGTATTTGCATTTAAATCTGCTTCGTTTATAAGAGAAAATCTTCGTACAAATCCTGAATGTTTTCATGAATTGTGTTTCTTGTATTGCAATACTATTATGTTATCTACGAGTAATATATGAATATGGATTTACGAAGTATAGGCCTTAAAATTATATCCATAGCTCTTTGAAGTGTAGCGGACGCTCAGCAATGTCCGCACCTTCCGCTTTCACACATGGCTGAAAACATCCAGATATGAACTCTAGCGTAGTAACGTATTTTGTATATTTAATTTTCCGAATTATTTCCTCAGTTATTGGTCAAGACTGAACCGGCTTTAGTTTCCGGTAACCAGTAGGAAATTGCCATGCTTTAAAACCGATGAGTGCTAAATTATTTTTACTCCGACATATTACTACAGTGTTAGCGTAGGATTATTAGCAGAACTATTTATGGGGATTATAATTTTGTTTTTCAGCATATCCACAATATGCTTTTCTATAATTTCCTCTAACTTTGTCGAATCGGTAATGTTTTGCTTTACAAGGAAAGTTACTTCCTGTTTCCCTGTATATGTCAACCCTGGGGTTTCATTAAATAAATCTGAAAAAATTATCAACTGCTCTAACTTTTTCTTTACCTTCCAGATGTAGTTTTTTTCAGGTGACTGCGAGATTTACCTAGCGCCTTTACCTCTTTTGAACCAGCTTCATATTCTGCTGTATGACGTTCTCCTGAAAGTTAATTTTCGGACCTGCAGATAAAAAAAAAAATTCTGACCCAATGTTACAGTTGCCTGTAAGTTTTTCATCGCAAACACCACTTTCAAATGTTAATCTTTGCACATTGAAAGTCATTCTAAGCATTCATAATGTTTCCCCTGGGTTGGCTATCACCTTAGTTCCCACGGCATCAAATAGTCGATGTTCTAAAAACCTTTTCTGCCCTCGCGTGCAGTAAAGTATGCATTTAACACAATTTAAACAGACGTGCGCACCAGGGTTGTCACTTTAGGGCAAAAATATTCATAAAAGATTAGATATATTTATAGATAAGACAGATATTCATGAAATTCAGATATAGTTTCTTATTACGCACTTCAGTTATTTCGGCGACTATTGTGTTGCCTCATGAAATGCTTTTTCACGACTTTACTTTGCGGTTGTGGATAATCAGAAAACACTGAATTATTTTAAAGGTTAACAGTTACTTTAACAATTATATTACATAAACTATTTATTGCTTATTATTTGTTGCGCTTATTAATTCTCATCATTGGGAAAATAGGAAGAAATGTTATTTTATTAATAACACAATTCATACACCTTACCTAATGATAATTTAGAATATTTTTTGCATTACATAAATAGAATATGCATGCTGAAAATATTATGGGAAAACTAGTTATGTAATCATCAGTATCATTTCAGAAGTGTAATACACCCCATGCTTTAATAGCACCTGTATTTTCGCTACAAAAAGGTTGCAATAAATTTCTGCCACAATTAATTTATTAACGCTCAAAATTCATAACAGCTTTTAATTTACACTACGTAGATCACAACACTGAATCATACCGAGCATGATTTTCATGATGAAAGAATTTTGGTTTTCCTAAAATTATTTTAATATTTTTTCCAGCGCTGCGCTGTTTGGAATTCTGTTCGTAATTAATTTTACGCCGCCTTCATTTCATCTTTCTTAGTAGGGATCAACAAATAATTCCTTCCGAGGAGCAACTCGGCTACTTGCGGTGGTTGATTGACTTTAGTTTCAGACTTCTTCCATGAGTAACTTGAATACGAGATTTATATTTTCTATACAAAACCATTCCTCTAAAGATGATTAGAGGATAACTTCAGGTGTTTTACTGAAGTCAATTAATCAATGAACCAGACTCTAATATTCTTGAATTTTTATTGCTTTTCTTAAAATCTGAGATAATATTTCTCGCAATTAAGCTATATAATATATATACCATCTAATTTAATTAGGACCAACAGCACAGCTATCAAATACTATTTTTATGCATTACAATCGCATCACAGCCATCACAGCCCTACAAATATAAGTATTCTTTTAAAATGAGCGATTTAAAATGGTGCTTCATGTTTTCCCCTTTCTTTTTTACCCTACCTCATTAGTTAGCTCCAGGTGCTTCAGTATGTTCACTTTCGCGATTATTATTAGCATTTCCGACAACTATTTGCTGCGATAAACAAGTTTTCAACTAGGTCTAACTGATTCTGATGTTTAATCTCTTTTAAATATATAAATCAACAGCTTTATCGTTTTCGTTTGTTGCTCTTTCCTCTTATTTCAGTCTTTCCGACGGTGTACATTTTAAAATTTCTTAATTCAGAAACGTACTTTTTTAAATATATTTTTATATGTTATATTAGAATAAAATTTTTAAAAACAAGTTATTTTATAGCTATAATGTCAATTATATTATTAGAATTAGCTTGAATGATTGCTTAAACGCTCCGTGAAAAATTCAGAAATTTAAATCTATTATTATTTCTCAATAAACAGAAAAGAAACCCACTAAAAGAATACGACCGAGAGAAATTATATACTAACATAACGACAGAGAGAAATTATATACTATCTTTTATGCTTACATTGCAGTTTTTCCAAAGAATGAGACAGGCTAACGTGATGATCTGTTTAATCAGCAATATACGTTACTGCTCCAGAAATAACTTAAACAAATGTACAGTTCAGGTTCAAATTAAATATGGATGAACAAGACAAAATTTCAAACCAAAACGTCTAGTTCAACGAAACATTTTATACATAAAATGAAGCAAATGGTTGATAGTAACGTATATTTTATTTTCAAACATTCTAATTTAGTCTTCCATTAGTATTTCAATGGGCATTTATGCGTGAGGTATTCTGGAATAAACTACGGGCCTTTGCATCATTGTCCATACTCTAATGCTTTCGATAGCTAGTCCAGATGAAATAACAGCTCGTTCATATTCAAGGATAAGAACAGTGAATTACTAACGTCGGCAAGATAAAGCTTTGCAGTTTTGTATGCTATAATAAAAAAATTTAACTTCCAATAAGTTACTTCCAAAAATAAATTTTAAGTTCCGTAAACAGCATGTGTATAATATTGCAAAACCTCAGCATTTTTTAGAATAAATTAATACTAATTCTTCTATTTGTTCAGCACGATTGTATATAATACAGAATTCTTTTGATACTTTTCGATGCGTTCGAAAGTTGGAAGTTAACAACCATAATACCTTTTATAAAATAAACTTTTAAATTTCCGTGAGTAATTTGGCGCCCCTTCTAATTGGTCTCCTCAAGCAAGTGCCTCACCCTTGTCCCGAGTCTGGAAGGAGACATGATGAGGTAGGTGAATGTAGAAACAACGGTTACGAGGAATCACAGCGAAAAATTGAAGAATACCTTTCTTGAGGGAAAAGCGTTTGGAAGATGGTCGAGAATTTAGCCCACTGCATTCGTAACTCATTCACAAACTTTTCACACAGCATCCACCGGTCAGATATCCTGAAAACTTTCAGTTAGGTGATAGATTGAATAATGGGTTTATATTAATGCAAGTGATTAGTCAGACAATCGACACAGTAAAAAGACGATGGTATGATGCAAAAATGAGTAAGAAAACTGAAAACAATTTGATCCCTGCACAGAGTGGTCACAGCTAAGATCAACAGACTGACACTGCAAATGGTCTACATATACCAGTGCTCCGTAACCGGTGTGCCATAAGTAGGATATAGGTGTGCCGCAATCAAATACATGTATTTGACATTTTGCAATTTTTTATCATGTATTTAATACACAATGACAATTTTTCCCCTTAATAATGTCTATTTTAAATGTTTTTATATATTTCACTGTTGTGTGTGTGATTGTAACTGTGTCAGCATTTGAATTTTTTCGGCACTTCCTTGATAACTCAGAACTCAAAAATATATAACTTTTTTTAAGCACAGGTATCACATTGATAATTATTATGATTGCATATAAATAAATATGTTATGGTTTTATAATTGTATATTTTTTCAAATTAAAAACAAAAATTTATTGTAAATTTTGGTGTATAAATCAATACATATATACATTAGCTTTTGGTGTGCCACGAAATTCCAGAAAGATTTTTTGTGCGTGGCAGGTGAGAAAAGGTTGCGGAGCACTGACATATACCATCTATACGATGAAGGATCAACACATACAGAGGACAGACACTGCGCAGAATCGACATCATCATATAATGCACACTGGCACATGGCGCGCAAGGGTTGCAATTAGAAACGGCGCATAATCAAGAAGCAAACAGTTTGACGAATTTTTATTTTGTAGAAGATCTGCATAGAATAGATGCTGACAGAAGATCGAAAACAGTTTCTGAGTCGATCGTGTGGTGGTTAAGAGTTTGTCAATCCTACGCCGTATCGATCATGCCGCATTTCCTGACAATCTAAGTTCTATTGTATATTGATTCATCTCTTAGTATCTTCATAAAGGTTTCTAGAATATTTCTAGGCGAAGATTTTCTTGTACATAAAAGGACCATAAGAAAATAACTATACTCCATTTGAAATTAATTAGCATTTTATTTACATACTTATTTTCATTTGAAAAGCATTTTATTACAAAACAGCGCCGATCATTTCTATGTACCTCGGTGCAAGGAAATAAACCGAAAAAAAAAAAAAAGGCGTTTGATCACAGATCGTGGATGGTGAACGGAGGAAGCTACGAAGCGACGACTACTTGCTTATATCTTTCCGCACCTTATAACCACGATATGCAGCTTGGATTTTAGTAGCGGCCTGCTCCTGGCCATCGCACGCATCCTCTTCCAACCAAGAAAGCTCCTGTTCATTAAGCTGGGGATTATCAATATTCCCCTCCTGAAGGAATTCCATAAGGTCTTTATCGGATGTCAGGAGGTTCTCGTCCATAATGCTTTCTTCCACTCGATTTTCAATGTCCACGAGCAAATCGCCGCTTTTTGGTCCATCTGAAAGGGAATGATCTCATGTAACTATGGCAAGTCTCGCAGCATAAAAGAAAAATAAATGTATGTAGAAGGCAAGAGAAATTTCAGGCATTTGTATATATATGTTCATGAAAACGCTATAACTTATATTAAGTATGATGTACATCATACTTAATATAAGTTATAGCGTTTTCATGAACTGTTACTTACTGTGTGTGTGTGATTATGGCAAAAAGCCTCGAGGGCTATCTGCCTAAGGGTAGGGATGCTTTCGTGGAGGACTTTCTAAGGGAACTGGCTCGTATACACGTTACACATGGGAAAAACCACGAAAACGCCCATGCAGCCAGCCCGTTCGCGGGATTCGAACCGCGGACCGAACTACCAGTGTTCAGCGACTTTACTGCTCGGCCGCTAGTGGGCTCCTCTAACTTTCTGTATACTACCGCATATTTAGATAACATTCTTCCTCACGAAGGAAAAAGATTCTGACAAATTCTTACTTGCTTACCTGCCCACGAATTTCTAAATTTACGCAACAAAGTTACTATCAAACGAAATATGCAAAAGTAGATCGTAAAAAAGCTATACAGTTACTTCATAATCTCCAAGAGAATCTTTCACCACTATCAGAAAGAGCAACAAATAATAACAAAAACGCTTTGAAACTTTGAATTAACATACAGTTTTTCTCTACCATGCACTTATCGTTGCTAGTCAGTGTTGAGACTTTGCTTGTGAAAAAGAAATTTAAAATAAAATAATTTATAATTACTAAACTAATATCACCTTTAAGGATTTACGATTCTGTTATCTGATAGATATTTGCACAAAATGAATATGAAAATACTGATGCTAATGAGATCCCATAATTACAGATACATACATTATTTAAATTCACTTCGGCTACTTCTAGAGCAGCGGTTCCCAACCGGCTCGGTACGAAACCCCCCCTGGAGGTCGATGGAATTTTAAAGGGAGTCTCTGATGATCAAGAGGTCCACAGCCGAATATGCACCGCATTTAATCGGCATAATCAAGATCCCATTGATTACACAAATGTATGAATAAAACTGATAATTAATTGATTACTGATCTAAAATTTTATCATAAAGATAAATCAAGTCTCACTCAAAACACAACAGTACGCTAAATTTCGGAATTTAAAATCCATCACAGAGAAATATCTCAAAATTAAATTTGCTACTGGGCCAATATTATCGACTTTTCCCTCTTCATACATAGGGAAAACAGACTTTAATTAAGTTAATAACTTACTACGGAAAATAAGAAATACGTTGAATATTTCTGAACTAGGTGATTTAAGAATTGAGCAATTTTATGTAAAATATTCAAAGAAACTGCACCAATACTTAAAGTAAAATAGAGCTTCTAGCCAATTAGGATCTGATTTTGTGTTTGATAACTTGTTTATATTTGCGAAATTAAAAAAAATAATAATACAAAAATAATTAAACATAAGTCTAACAGACTCCTTTTTCAAAAACTTCGTTTATATTTAGTCTATTTAACTTTAAGTTATTTATACACAATTATTTGCGCTATGATTATGCTCTATGCTGTATATTATAGAGAAAAATGTAAGGAGGGTCGATGAAAAAAATGTTTTTTTAAAAAGGGTCGATGCAAGAAAAGGGTTAGGAATTTCTGTTTTAGAGGAAGTATACAAAATATGTTTACCTAAATCAGGGGTGTCAAACTGCCGGCCCGCGGGCCGCATATGGTCTCCGCAGTAACTTTATGTGGCAAGGGAAGACCGTAATTTCAATTACGGTGTTGCAAAAATTTGAGGATTTTTTTATTTGAAACTCAAGCGTACATTATTTTCATTTACATTAAAACGAACATAAGTAACGCAGCAGAATATATATATATATAAATGGATCTAATTAATTTATAATATAACATGAGATTTTGAAGGTACAGATTTCAACTTCTGTGCGTACTTGTTAAAAAATAAATAAGCTCAGTTATGGACTCCTGCACTAGGAATAATCGCTCTGTTTGAAAGTATATGCCAGCATCATTTTATTTTTCACAGTTGAAAATTACTAAGAAAAGAACATGCTTCATTGATGAGCATCCATAACCATGAAGGAAGATAATTTCTTAATAATTTCTCTTCAAGGCTACAAACTTTATCGAAATCGAAACGTTACCCAGTCTCAAGCTACAGTAAAAAATAAAGAAGTTCATAATTATGAATATAACTATATGCACTTTTATGTATGCTTCGAAAAAAATTTAATAAATAAGACAGACTAGATTGTTGTTATTTATTGTCAAGTTTTTTCCCACTTGATAAATTTTCTCTAAAATATTCTGAAACTTTTCATAATTTGTTTATTTTTAGTTTAAATATTTAATGATGAATTAAACACATCAAAATAAATTGAAAAAACTGTCAGTCTAATGTAATATTTACTGCCAGTATATTTGAATTCCAAAGGGTAACAGACGAAAATGTCTTACAGGTACCACACTTTAAGATAGAAAATAAATATAAATTTCAATTTTTTCTGTGCGATATTATTATTCTTATTTCCATTGTACGTTAAATACTTAGCAAGCAAAATGCAAAAATTGTATACAATGTTTTTCATCTTGTTAGTAAAATTTTTCATTTGGGGGAAAAAAAGAAGAGGGGGGTATGGGTGCATGAACTGATTTCACGTCGTCCAACCATAGGCAGTTTGACATCACTGGCTTAAATCATATTAAATACACTTTTGAAATATGCTGAGAAATGTCTTCTGAAATTAATGCTATAAAATGACCCGTTTTTACCCGAATATACGAAATTCCGACTCGTCAAATTATTTCGAATGATTAATGATTTTGAAAAAGTAAGTATTAAGATATAAAAAGCGCAAGCAACTTTTGATTTTGTGAGAAACAGTTTTATTGTGTTAGTTTATTTTTAAAGCCTACATTTCGATTTTAGTATGATGTGTTTGTGAATACTGACTGCTATTTCAACAGACTGCTCACACAATAAGCACTCATTTATTCTTATATTTCACGCACTAACAAATTTCAGGCATGTAATGATTTCATAATGAAAATCAAGTTAACGACATGAATTGTAGGCATTCAAAAATTTACTGGTAACAAAGCCATCGCATACGCAGCTCTAAAATAAGGCAAATATATTAATATATATAATCTAAAGAGGACCCAGTTCTTTGTCCTCACCAATCATTCTTAATTCTTGAGTTAAACATGCATACCTTTATCTCTAGAATAGACGATTACGTTCACTCGAGTTACACATTGAACCAATCTCACGTAATCAATTTTAGGATAATATATCAAACCGCATTATTAAGCTCGGGATGTAAAACAAGATTAAATTTGTTCTACGATCACTTAAAAATCTTTAAACTCAATTCTCACATTGCAGAATTACATTTTTTAAAATTATATTGAACGGTTTTATTAAGAAAATCATATTAAAAAACGCGCCGCCTAATTGTGATCACGTTTTTCCACGGCTATTTTGATAACGTAAACAGAATGATAACATTAAATGATGAAAAAAAAAATATGCTTTAAAATAGCAACGGAATTTAACTAACATAATATAAAAATATCAACAAACAAATAAATAGGTATTTTCATAGCACTTACACATGAAAATGCGATAGTTTGTGTATGAACTGTTCATCATAGCTTTAATGAACAAGTTTATTTATGAACTTTTCATAACATTTCTTGAAATTATTTCAGTGATGCTGTACCCATAATTTTAATATTCGGAAGGCATCTCTCATTCGAAGAAAACGTACCAATATTAAATTTTAAATTAAGTAAAATAGCAACCATAGTTTGGTCGAGACGTTTTTCAGGAATGTTTTGCGCTACTGAAGAAGCGAGATTTGTGTCTGATGGCCCTCAAAATCGATAGAGTTAGTCAAAATCTATGTCAAAGGTTACTTTGGTACTTTTCCATTTTGCCGGCGCAGGCGATAAAGTCGACAAAAATGGTACAACCGATGCCAAACGGAATATCCTCGCTGATAACCTTTTACGCCTAATTTTCAAAACAAGTCGCAGCCCTTTCTTATCAGATTGATTGTTTCTTCAATACTGGCATACAATTACATGGAATTTTTACCAAATAGTTCAATTTTATTCCCTAAGGCCATTCGCGGTAATCAAGTCAATTAGGATGCAATCACATTGCTCACCCAAAGGCGAAAATATAGAAAAGGCTAAGTCAAAGGTTAAATTCATTAAATTCATTAATTCTAATGAGAATGCACTAGCGAAGTAAAGCACTGAGATTTTACATAATTTCTGAGTAAGCTATTCATATAAATTGAATAATTCTTTAATTTAAACTTATATTCCATATTAAGATTTAACTTGAAATTAATGTAGATAATTAGAGAGAATTAAGATTTTTGTAGCGTAGTTTACGTGAGATGAACCGGCGAATCAGGATGTTGTACCACGAAAGCATAGTAAATTCTTAAATGAATGTCTTTTTACAAATTTATTGTCTTTTTACAAAATTTTATATGATATTAAAATGCTTATGTCTTCAAAATAGAAAAATCTTAGAACTAACATTTGTTAAAATTTTTTATGTGCATACTGTGTGTTGTTGCTAATAAAGTGCATACTGTGTGTTGTTGCTTGGCGAGATTTGCGCCGGCGAAACGGAAAAGTACCGTTACTTTTTCGGCATCATTTTTAAATGGTTATCTGAAATCGAAACCAAGCTATTTATCGACCAACTGGTGACATTTCATTGTCATATGGCAATTTTTATAATTTGTTTTGACCTTAGTTGGCGAATTTATATTTCATTTGGGGACTTTAAAAAACATATTCTACAATAATTTGATCAATTGTTGATCACTTTACAATAAACTGTGTATTTTCCATGTTTTTATATACAAACGGACCGGACTTCCGCAACCTGATAACAACATCCGAATGATAACATAAACTGTGATTACATTAAGCGGCGTCTATTGTTACAGAAAATTTGT